TTTTGTTTCTTATCTAAATTTTTCTGGCCTACCCTTTGGTTTCATGATATTTATTGCTGTTTTTTTATTAATTTGATTTATGTCTTCGTGGGGTTTTATGGGGTCTTTCTCCAGTTTTTATGGTAATTTTGTTGCGAATTCTGTTTTTTGTGTTTTACTGATATGTGTAGGTACTTAATTTCTTTTGGGGACGGTTGAATTATGGGCCTTCCATCCAAATAATAACTTTCAAAAAATTCAAATGCGTAACCAAAGTTTTGGGACTCTGTGAAAAAGTGACTTAAGGGGGTCCTCCGCCTAAAACCGTAGTACCATCTAATACTTCATGTCATAGAACCCCTGTGTACCAAACATAGGGATTATCCTCATGATTGCTGTACAACAGGATTCTGAGAAATAAAAAAAAAACTATTCTTAGGGGCGAATTTCAGGAAGCTGTAACTCCGAAAAGCATTTTTGAACAAATTTTGTTAAATCTATTTCCGTACACCCTGTATAGAGTATAACTTTATATATCGATGTTGGTTGATCAGGTACCTAACATTCTATAAATGAGAAAGTTCAAATTGAAAATTGGTGTTTGGGAAAAGACAACAAAAAGTACATATCGAAATATTCAGAGATATTTGATTTTGAGTAAAATGTTTCTATAGAGGTTACTGGACAGGGTGAGTTAATTACACCCATCGTGATAATCTGACACCCTGTATACCAAAATAGCTTCAAAATTCGGAATTTCCAAAAACATTTTTTTTTCGAGATTTAAAAAAAAACTTTAACTAAAACATATTATTGTGGTGGATATATTTTGAAAATATAACCTTTTTCTGAGATTCATAGTCCAAATTTGTCAACACACCAAGATTCAATATTCTTTTATTGTTTTCAATATGCTTTGATCCCATAAAAAATTCGATTTAACATGGGTATTGTCCTTTCTTCCTTGCTGATTTCGATCTTTAATGCATGTATCCACTGTGCCGTCAGATGTTTAAGAGCTAGATATTCATATTCCTCATAGGATTGAATTCGCTGTCTTGTATTCAAAACTAGGTCCTGGTTCCTTCTATCAATTCACTTCCAGAAATAATTTTCGATAAATTTTCTCATCATGCAATCTAAAAAAAGTCGTTCTAGTCCCGGAGCCACTACTGTTATTTTGGTCATCGACAAAACATAAAAATTAGGTACAACGTGCTTTCTTCTATGGGCCCTTCTGCATATTTTGAAAACTTGTTCCAGATGTCTTGGAAATCGTAGGAAAAACACGATACCCTTTTTTAAGCCCCTCATCCAAATCCATAACCTGAGAAACATTTCACTAAAGACCCCTCAAAATCAATTATCAAATATCTCTTGGAGGGAATTTTTCATTGTGAATGTTGAATGTTCGCTGTGGCCATTTTTACCTTTTCTCAAACACCAATTTTCAATTTGAACTCCTTCATCTAAGTATAAAATGTTACGTACCCCAACATTAAAGTCAATGCGAAGTTATATACCAAGGTAATTTGAACATTCGATATTTCCGAAAGCCCGCAAAGTAACCTAAGAAATATTTCACTCAAAATCGGATATCTCTGGGAGAGAATACTTCATTGTGAATGTTGAATCTTCGATATACCAATTTTTGCCTTTTCTCAAACACCAATTTTCAATTCGAACTTTTTCATATATAAAACGTTATGTACCCAATCAACCAACATTAAAGTCGATACGAAGTTTTATACCAAAGTGATTTCAGAGTTCAGTATTTCCGAAAGCTCACAAAGTAACCTCTAAAGAAACATTTCACTATAGACCCCTCAAAATCAAATATCTCTGCGATTAACAGTGGCGGATACAGTAGTTTCTCTGATTGTATTTACACCTTTCTTCTACCTGTGAAGATAAAAGCTGTAGGTGGGGTGTCATTATATAAAAAAACACCCTGTACAAATAACTGGATTATTGCGGAGCTTACGGGTGGACCTCTGCGAGACGAGCGCAGCGAGTTCCGCAGCCATCTACTCACCAATATACTGTTGAACTGTTCAAATAGGACACTCACCTGAAACGTGTAGTTTTTGAACTGATGAGAAAAATTCTTAACTGAGTGAATCAGGTTGAGATTGTAGGTACTTGAACAACATATTGGTGAATAGATGGCTGGTTCCACTCATAAATTCCTCAAAAATCCACTCGTTTGTACTTGAATAACTTGTCACAATATATTACTAGTTTGGTAAAGTAACATTACTAATTCCTGTTAAAAGGCCAATTGACAAAAAGTGGATAATCTTACAAATTCTGACTTTAGATAATAAGTTATTGTTCAAGTACAAATAAGTGGATTATTGCGGAACTTATGGGTGGACCTCTGCGGGACGAGCGCAGCGAGTTCCGCAGCCATCTAATCACCAATATATTATTGAATTGTTCAAGTAAGACATTCACCTGAAACGTGTAATGTTAAAACTAATGAGAATAACGCACATTTGAGTGAGTCAGTTTAGTATCGTAATCAAACAACATATTGATGAATAGATGGCTGCGGAACTCGCTGCGCTCGTCCCGCAGAGGTCCACCCATAAGTTCCGAAACAATTTACTCATTTGTGCTTAAATAACTTGTCATATTATGTTACTAGCTTGATGAAGTATAACATTACTAAGTAATTCCTGTTGAAAGGCAAATTGACAAAAAGTGAATAATCATAATCTTACAAATTCTGACTTTATATAATAAGTTATTGTTCAAGTACAAATAAGTGGATTATTGCGGAACTTATGGGTGGACCTCTGCGGGACGAGCGCAGCGAGTTCCGCAGCCATCTACTCACCAATATACTGTTGAACTGTTCAAATAAGACACTCACCTGAAACGTGTAGTTTTTGAACTAATGAGAAAATTCTTAACTGAGTGAATCAGGTTAGTATTGTACTTGAACAGCATATTGGTGAATAGATGGCTGGATCCATCCATAAGTTCCTCAACAATCCACTCGTTTGTACTTGAATAACTTGTCACAATATATTACTAGTTTGGTAAAGTAACATTACTAATTCCTGTTAAAAGGCCAATTGACAAAATAAAGGGGATAATCTTACAAATTCTGACTTTATATAATAAATTATTGTTCGAGTACAAATAAGTGGATTGTTGCGGAACTTATGGGTGGACCTCTGATCCCCATCTAATCACCAATATACTATTGAACTGTTCAAGTAAGACATTCACTTGAAACGTGTAATTTTTAAAATAATGAGAATAACGCACATTTGAGTGAGTCAGTTCAGTATCGTAATTAAATAACATATTGATCAATAGATGGCTGCGGAACTCGCTGCGCTCGTCCCGCAGAGGTCCACCCATAAGTTCCGCAACAATTCACTCATTTGTACTTGAATAACTTGTCACATTATGTTACTAGTTTGGTAAAGTAACATTACTAAATCCTGTTGAAAGACAAATTGACAAAAAGTGGATAATCTTGCAGATTCTGACTTTATATAATAAGTTATTGTTTAAGTACAGGGTGTTTTTTTATGTATTGACAAACCACCTACAGCCTTCACCTTTACAGGTAAAAGAAAGGTGTAAATATAAAAGTTGTACAGTATTGGCTAAATTTTTAGAATCCACGGTCAGAAACAAAAATTGAATGTCAGAAATGTGAAATTTTACATGCTTCCAGCTTTTTTCAAATGGGATGCTCTATATTTGGTTCTATATTCTTGAAGTGCACAATTTCCCGATTTCAAAACTATATAGTTTGTCTATATTTGGTTCAGCCGTTTTCAACATATTTGGTTCTAAAAATTTTAAAAATACTATCAGAGAAACCAAGTAGTACATACCTTAAATTTTACCTGCAGCTTTCAACTGTATAGGTAGAATGGTTCACAAAATGAGTAGTAGGATAGTATTTTTACAATTTTTGGAGCCGAATATATGAGAGACTGTTCAATCAAATATAGACAAATTATATATTTTTTGAATCGGGGTATTATGCTCTTCAAGAATATAGAATGAAATATAGGGCATCCCATTTGAAAAAAGCTGGAAGAATGTATAATTTCACATTTCTGACATCCAAGTTTTGTTTCTGACCATGGTTTCTAAAAATTCAGCCAAAACTGTACCTGCAAAATTTCAAACGCTATACTTGAAAAAAAAAATTCCAAATAGTTACATTAATATTGTATTAATATTAAATTCCGAGATGACTGTTGCGGTAATAATTGTTGCTCTGTTATGACGCGAGTTCGACGAACTCGATAGTTTACTTTGTTAAATTACCAATGACCCTTTATCAATCTCTCTTGCGTGTTTTATATTATATTATATTTACATTCACGCGCCTTTTTGATTCATCAATTAGACCAAAAAGTTTACTAATAAATTAATTATCGTAAATATATTGCCCCGTTGCTGCGGGATGCCACTTGTTTAATTTCTGTTTCAGATTATAATCATGGAGGTTGATGTGATATACAACAAACTGATATTTTTAAAAATCCTTACTAACACTTAGTTTTGTGAATTCAAGTTAACTTGTACTTTTTGTAGTGCAAGAGATAGGGGGTGTCCGGTGATTAATTTCGGTGCCATGCGCCCCCTGAGCTCGAACAGCTTCAGCGGTCGATCCTTGTGCGATAGTGTGGTAATAAAATGGACAATTTTCCAGAACTGTTTGCTAGGACAAACGATAACAACTGGGGTGTAAATAATAGTGAATTGTATAGGCAGGATAATACAAGTTCTGTGGATTCTTCGACGCCACCTCCTCAACATGTCGAAGGTGACGAAAGAAAAAATTCTGGCGCTAACTCAATCAGAGGTAATTTTTTCAAACAATCTGATAACACTGGAATCCAATATAACATATGATTATTGAACTGTGGATGGAGCAGTGAGATGTTCTAGGGTTGATTTTAAAATTTAGTATTTTTTCTCAATAGTTCATAAAGGTTACGAGAGTACCTAGTTATACTTAAAATATTTCTTTTTTCTTCTAGCACAAATCGAGATAATCCCATGTAAAGTGTGCGGCGACAAGAGCAGCGGCGTCCACTACGGCGTGATCACGTGCGAGGGCTGTAAAGGGTTCTTCCGAAGGTCTCAGAGCTCGGTGGTGAACTACCAATGTCCGAGGAACAAGAACTGCGTGGTGGACCGGGTAAATCGGAACCGGTGCCAGTATTGTCGGTTGCAGAAGTGCCTCAGGCTCGGCATGAGCCGAGATGGTAAGAAATTTTATTATAATTAATGGATTTTGGTTCCGTAACCTCGTCGGCAACTCTTCAACCACTTTCACAACTCGCCTACTGCGATAATAAACGGTTTATTTATCTCTGTGGTGCTCTTTAATTCAATAATGAACATCAAAATTCAATTATCCGTTAACATATCTCTATTATCAATACACTAACCAGTTCGTTAACTAACGCCATTATTCTCCTTTCAATATCTGCCTACCTCATCCATCTGATGTTGAGTAATGAGCGAGATGCTTATTTATTTTCGTTAACTTATAGGTATTCAATATAACTGACCCCTGAACCAAAAAAAAAAAAACAACTAAAATCCGTTCATAATTCTTTATAATTTTCCCATTATCGAATTCTCATCGGCAAACTTTTCAATGATAATAATACTTCACCATCAAGCTCCACTCACATTTTTATTTACAGTTAAACATCAAACATGACTTAACCAAAGCCAAGTACCTTTATGTTAGTACGTGAATATAGTGTGTATGTTTATAACCGTACGTAATTTATATTGTAGAACCGGCTAATAAACTGCGCGCTCTAAGTACAGTTATGGCATCGCGATGTAGGTCAATTGCACGGTGTCTTGTCTTGCTTGTCTGTCCTCCGGTAATAGCCCCGCGAGGAAAAATCACTTCAAAGGCACGCCGAAACAAGACTTTTAAAATTTACCTTTTTATAGACCCACAACCATAGCACATCCATCATAGATTCATCAACATAAATGTGTGAGAGAGGAATTCACGTAATATCATGCTGAATCTCTAAAACTTGTCTTAATGTAATTTCTTTTTCAAATTTCAGCGGTGAAATTTGGCCGTATGTCAAAAAAGCAACGCGAGAAGGTCGAGGATGAGGTCCGATTTCATAGGGCGCAGCTCAGGGCTCAAAACGACTCGGCGCCTGACAGTTCGGTGTTTGAACAACAAACGCCGTCGAGTAGCGATCAGTTGCATCACAGCTACAATGGAGGGTGAGTATCTTAGTTATAGTTACATGAATTCTGACACTTCCGGATAATAGACTTGAGAGAAGGGCTTGATATAACTGGAAGAAATCCAGCATGCAATCTTGTTTTCAAAAAATAAAACAGCTGCAAGTCCAGACGAAATCTACTCAGAAATAATTTACACATTCAATGACACCTGATTTTGTTGACATATTTTTAACGGACATTAGCGGCATTTCCCGCCAACGCCATAATGCGAATGTGGGCGCTGACGTTATATGACGCATTTCCTTTTTTGGTCCTGATCTACTAAGCTCCTGACGGAGCTAGCGTTGTATGCCGTCGATATAGCGTATATTTGGTGTTAGGGTGCCGTATTGGAAACCCAAAAATATATATTTAGAATGGATAGTATAATTAACGTCTCCGGAACCACCCACAGGTTAATACATGCAGCATATCAAGGTGTCTTTCTTAGCGCACACCCATATTTTTGGTGCCGTTTGCGACATAGTGGCTATGTCGGCAAATGCCGCGGGTGTCATTGAATGTGTTAAAATCTTGAAGGATGAGGAGTCACTAAACGTAGTTAATAACTTTTCAATATGGGCTAATGATCGGGCATGATTCCTTCCGCTGGCTTCAATCAGCCTTTGTAACATTTATGAGTCACTTTCCCAAGATTTTTTCCTGGAGATTATCCATAGGAGAATATATGCAAAATGCGAGTCCTTTATGGGCCAATCCCAGTTCAAGAAAGTTCCTGTCTATCCTACTGTTGGTAAAAAGGTGTAGAGGGATAAGTCTCTGTTCCAGTCCATGCCTTGCTTACAGAGTAATGAGAAGGCTTTTGACAGCTAATGGAAAATGGAAATCCTTAAAAATGATAGAGACCTCAAGATAATCGCAAATCTCTACTGGAACCAAACTGCACAAATAAATGTAGACCAACTGTCAGACGGAGTATGAATCAAAATGGGTGTCTGGCATGGCTGCATCCTTTCGCCATTGCTTTTTAACATTCAAAATATTTGTAAATGCCTTGGAATGCTGCGTTCAGGCTTTACTTGATCAGTTGGCAGAATTTGAATTAAACTTGAACCAAATGGATGGTTATTCATAAGAAACAAATTAGAGGAGGTATTCTTCAGATACAGAACTAGCAAATCGAACGCGTCCAGTCATACAAAAATCTAGGATTCCTGGTGAACGAAAACTAGGATAATATATAGAAGGTTCATGCCCAAACTGAAAAAGTCAGAGAATCATTTATAAAAATGAAGTCCTTGATGTGTTGCCAAAGTCTTTCACACTCAAGTACTACATTACTATGATGGTGTAGGCTGAAATGGGTCATTGACTCATTCGAGCCATATAAATCGCCAGGAGCAGATGGGATTTATTCAGTATTATCACAAAAAGGCAATAGCACGCTATACTCCAGGCTTCTGATTATACATATATAGAGCTTGAGACTAAATCATATCCCCAAAGCCTGGAAAGAAATCAGAGTTGTTTTCATCCCCAAACCTGGCAAAATAGGTCAGGACAATGCAAAAGCTCCGAGACTCATAAGACTCATGTCATTTTTGTTAGAGGCTCTAGAAAAACTGCTTTAGCTCCACATTAGGGGTGCTGACCAATACCTCCGGAACAATATGCTTACAAAGCAGGAACCTCAACTGAAACAGCACTACATCACCTCGTCCAGCGGGTAGAAAGTACGTTGGAAAATAAGGAAGTTATGGGAGCCTTCCTTGATATAGAGGGAGCGTTTGACAACACTTCCTTCAAGGCAATCATGAGCGCTTTACGCCGACGAGATATCAATGATATATGCTGCAGATGGATAGCCTGCATGCTTCGAGGTAGAGTCATCCAGTCCACGCTCCTATGTGAAACAGTAACGGCTCGGGTTTCAAAGGAATATCCGCAAGGCGGAATGTTATCATCCCTGCTGTGAAATCTGGTGATAGACGAGCTGAAAGAGCTACTACAACTTTTAAGTAGTGGGATATGCAGATGACTTAATCATAATATTCCAGGGAAAATTCAACCATACAGTTAGAGATCGCATGCAGCAGGCTCTAACAGTGGTCTCTAGGTGGACAGAGACTGTAGTGTTGAAAATAAGTGCCACCAAATCGACAATTGACCCTTTACTAAAGGAAAAAAAATGGAGGGACTTGGACCTCTTAACCTTCAGGGAAACCCAGTTACGATGTCGAATGAAGTTAAATATCTTGGGGTAATCATAGACTCGAAGTTAACTTGGAACAAACATCTGAACAAAGTAATTGAAAGGTCAGAACTGGCACTTATACTAGCCAGGAGAACTTTCGGAAAAACCTGGGGGTTGCGGCCGGACATGATTCACTGGCTATACACAACGGTTGTAAAGCCAGCAATAACCTATGCGTTTTTAATATGGTGGATAAAGACACAACAAGACAGAGCTAGAATAAGACTTAGCAGGGTGCGGAGACTTGCCTCTTTGGGCATTACAGGGTGCATGAAAAGCACACCAACAGTAGCTATTGAAGCCCTACTAGACCTACCTCCGCTACACATTGTGATTCAGGCGGAAGCCAGGATGGACCTCCACAGATAACGAAACAACCTGAGCAAACTAACAGTCAGATCAGGCCACACAGAAATAAGGGAAGTCATAAATCTGGCAGTATTCGACATGATAACTGACTATGTAGGTACTTCCTAAATATTCACTCGACATATCCTTCCAAGCCAAGTCCCAATTATTGGGGGGAATGAGAAAATCAACATGCACTCTACAATCTCAAAGGCCAGACCTGGTACTTGGACGGGTCAAAGAATGAGAATGGCACAGGCGCAGTAATCTACAGTCAAGAAGGGAGATCCGAGACCTTCTCCTCTCTAGGATCACATACATCTGTTTTCCAGGCAGAGGTATATGCAATTCTACAATTCGCAAGAATCAACAATATGAGGGCCTGCAAAGACAGGAGACTCACTTCACTCACAGACAGTCAGGCAGCACTGAAGGCATTGAAGAACCCTAAGGCAAACTCTGCACGCTCGTAATAGAATACCGAGAAGAACTCAACAACGTGGCGGACCAAAATAACGTCACATTGATGTGGGTGCCAGGACATAGAGGTATCCCGGGCAACGAAAAGACTGACAAACTTGCACGCAAGGAGTCATCCACAGAATACCTTGGTCCCGAACTAGCTCTCGGAGTGCCCAAAAGCACAGTAAGAAAGGAGCTGAAGGAATAGATCAAAGCAAAACATGCTCAATACTGGTAGCAAATATCCGAGCAAAATCTTCATACGTGAGACATGCAGCAAAAGAGCAAGACGACTGCTAAAACCAAGCAGGAATCAACTCAGAGTACCAACCGGCTTTCTTACTGGGCATGCCTCAGTGAAGAAGCACTTGCAAACAATGGACTTGTACAACGGAAACACGAACACACAGAATGCGATGCACTAACTTGCAGAAGACAAAATATATTTGGAGAAAATGGACTAGATACACATACGGCAAACATCCAACAGATATACTTCGCCTACTGCAGAGAACCAGCGCAACAAGCCTACGGTTGCAGCGAACTAAGCAATGTGTTCTCTGATTAGATCTGATATATCAACTTAGGGTTATTTCTACTTTACAGCATAAATTTTGGAATAGCAGTGTCAGATCACGGGAACATAACCCTCTGTTGAAGTATTTATTTAATATATTATATATAAGTTACGAACATAGTATTGTTGCTAAGAGAGTCCTGAAGATATGCATACAATTGTGAATTATCACATATCGATCCCTGCCTCAGCTAAACTGTAGCTGATAATCTTCATAGCAATAATCAGGATATATTTCCGCATTGTCAAACCCCAATTAAGTGCTTATTTGTAAAGAACTTTGAACAAGGCGTGAATGAAAAAGCATAGAGTTTTACCATTTTTGAAGAGAACAAAAAACGTCTAGAGCGCATACTTGTATTTTTCATAACTCAACAGGAACTGGAAAGCGTTTTTCGTGTGCTTTACATTTGGGGCATCCAAAAGCATCATGTACATGTCCTAACTTGAAAGAGGCAAAACTGCTGGAAGTCTACATTCTGTGAATAGTTTATCAAGTAAAACAGAAGACTCAATGTCATAATTCTTGCCAACGAACTCTATTTTGAACCAGTTGTGTCTAGTACAAAATGCTGCAACGTCGATCTGAGTTGTGGTTTACTTCTTGCTCTCTCCAGCATATGGTTTCTATTGTATTTTAGTTCTAAGTTCTAACTGTAGACTTTCCGTTTTGCAAGGTTTCTTGCGAAACTCCATTTCAAGGTCATCATAGGTCTTGCTCTTCCCAGTTTCTTTTATCCGTTTTATCCCTTTGAGATGCAGATAGATTGTCGACATTGTTGCAAATGTCCAAGTTCCCATATCGTTATGGCTCATACGCATTGGAATCTTTTGATTATCTACGACCCATAAAAGATCTTCAAAGCCTACCCATACCAGCCTTGTTCTCCATGCAATTTCTGCTGTTTGGAATCATGTTTGTCCTAGTTTTCCTTGAGAAGTCATCGAGTGACCTCTAGCGTTGATTGTCATCAATTCTGTTCCTCCATTTATCTTCAGGTCAGTTTGATGCTCCCGCCAACTAGCCTGGTATCAACTACGGCTCTTTAAGAAAATTGGAAATGAACAGACGTAAATGTCTTAGTCGTTTGCCTTTTTTTAATTGTGTGAGAAGATATCTCCCTGTCTGACTCTTCTCTTGATTGGAGCGTATTGCTGTTCTTTGTTAGGTTAGATTTTTTTAATATTGGTCCGCTCACAAAAGACAAAGTTTATACTACCCAAGCGGTACCATGAGCGGAAGAAATTAAGTGACGTAGAAAGCAAGAAATTTCAGAGATGGGCAGTACATTACCACATACGGATGGGATGCCTGTGAGGTTCTTGTGGTTCTTACAATTTCTCCCAGCTGGAATGAGGCTGGCCAAATCGTCAGAACATCTCCCATGGTAATAAAGTCGGTCACCTTCGGTCTATGTTGGAGAGATTTCAATGAATCGGTGAGAATGGGATCATTGAACCTTTTTATTGCTCTTCTATGTACTGTATAATAGAGCCAACGAATGCTTGGCAGCATCGCTCCAGATGGAACAGTGAACAGTGTCCCCTGTATGGTCTGGTTTAAGCCCGAGGGGTAAACCGCTGAGCAAAATCTTTTCATCAGATATCCTTCTACTGAAGTACTTCTCCGAATAACCTCAAAACATTCCTGGACATCCTCGAACATTCTCAGACATCCCAGGACATCATCGATAGTCGAATCAATAGTATTGGTAAAATAAATAAAGATTGTCAAGGAATATCTACCTCGAAATCGATGACGAAAACTTCAAAACCCAACGAAATCTAATAAAAGAAACATTCCTAATTAGAAAAACAAAATATTCGAAAATACACAAAACTCTAATATCTTGAATTTTCGGTTTCTTCTAAATTCTTCTAAATAGAGAAAATTTAGGATCTTGGAATAGAAAGAAAATGTGAACTTATCGTTTATTTATCACTCTCAATTTTAAGTTATTCCTGGCTCTTGAATTTGTTGAAAAAGAAAATTCAAGAGCCTGGAATAGAAAAAACATGAATGTCCTCTTAACTACCATTGTTTTCTCAATTTTTCTACATTTCTTCTCTGCTAATTCTCAGTTTCTCCGTCTCAATTTTCGTCTATTTCCGGCTTTTGAATGTTCGTTTTCTTCAAAATTTCTCTAAATATATATATATGCTGATGGAAAAAGAAGGGTATACGTTGCAGCTGCTGTTACTTTAATGAAGGAACAGAGAAAATACCTGTTACCTTAGAAAATGCCACGATTTTTTCATAAGACATCCCCACATCTCCTGAGACATCCTCGGAAATCCCTTTGATATCCCCTAAACATCCTGGAAATCCCCGGACATCCACCGAAATCCTGGAACATACCCAGAAATCCTGGGATATCCCTAGGCATCCTCTGGACACCAGAGGTCCACAGTGATTCACCCCTCGTTTGAGCCTGAGGAGAAGAAGTTGTTTAGAATTGAAGAAGTTTCCTGCACGAAACAGAAAACCCAATTTTTGAGAAGCGCTTTTGGCGATCGAAGATACATGGTTATGCCAAGACAAGTTGCTCGTGCGGTCACCTCAAGCAAAGATACTGAGGGATTGATAAGAAGGTTTTGTCCTGACATCTTTAAAACTGGGTTATCATCGGCGGAAGATTTCCTGTTTGAGAATAATCTGTTTGCTTGAGTTTTGGAAGCAATGTATTTGACTAGGTTATTAAGGTATAATGGTGTTAAGATCACGTTCAACAAATCACAGAATTTTGGGCAGAGTATATCAGAAGACACACACCATCGACCATAACATGCAGTAATCTACCTTCCAAAAAGCACCGCAGCCATTGGTAAAATTCGTTCGGAAGACCATATAATGGATGTTTGCTGAGGAGATCTTTGTGCCACACCTGATCAAAAACCCTTGAGATATTCAATGCCACAATGACGTAATTATGCCAGCGAATCCCCTGTTGATCTTTTAGAACGAAACCCGTACTGTTTTTCTCATCTCTGACATACATTAGTTTATTTGGCTTCGAGGTATTCAACGAATTTCAGGTCGCTTTTTCCATTACTTTTGGAAGTCGAATATAAGTGAGATTGGACGATAATTGCTAGGAAGAGTTTTATTGCCCTTTTTCGGGATAGGCTGCACTCTGGCACATTTCCAGATAGAAGGGAAAATGCCTCGACTGTAAAAGACTGAAAACAGTTTGCAAAGAACCGAAGCTAATTCTTGTGCGCAATTTTTGAGGACAATTGGTGAAATGCCGCTGGGACCACAAGGTTTCCTAGTGTCAAGTGGCAGAAGAATTTTCCTAATAGTTTCAAATCTAAATAGAACGTTTCTCATGTAAAAACCATTGAGTGACAGTATCTGTGCCATTCTGCCACATGTACTGCCAGGTAGGCCAGATATCATACTTGTGTGTATTCATGAAGTAAGTGTACCAATAACTTGAATTGGAGAAGAGTGTAACCGTGAAAGCTTGCCACTTTCGTGCACAAATCAAATTCTTAGGTTTCTACAACAAGTTCCATGGCTTCTACAGTGTTTTCTCAATTTCTCAATTTGTCTTGAAATCTTGTAGAGTTGATCAAACATAATTAGAATGCGCAACCACATTATGTGAGAATTTTATTTCCACTTGGAATTTGATAAGAGACTGGTAACAAAATGTTTATGTCTTTCAGTTACCCTGCCTACAACGACGTAGGTTCGTACACTCCCGCCTACTACCCCGGACAGACGCAAGTACCTGCGTCGACCATGGGCTACGACATTTCGGCCGATTTCGTCGACAGTACCACGGCGTACGATCCGAGGCCGGGTCTGGACGCGCTCAGCGACACTGGAAGCCTTATAGCTAGTGTTGTCACTACCGGTAAGTCGCTAGCATGAAGATTCTGAGGTCATATTATATCTTGTGGTGTTGGTAGACACTTTTTCCTTTTTCACAGAAGAAATGTTTGTTTTTGGTAGGAAACCGTTAGCATGTAAAACTGAAAAAAAAAATATGTGTAGAATAACTAACCCCCTTCCCCTCTCAGGCACTAACACGAGCAACGGTGGCGGTGGTGGTGGGGGTGGAGGTGGTGGGGGTGGAGGCGCGAAGTCCTCTTCTACGTCACTGCCCCTTTCTCCAGAGTCGCGACCCTTTAAACGCATAACGCAGACAGCGTCATCTACGAACTTGTCTGGAGGAACCACGGTTAGTATCCAGAAATCACCTATTTACAGAGCGATCTAGGACAAGAATAATCAATCAATCTCTTCTCCTGGACCGCTTTGTGAATTTCTTCGTTCTTCTTCTTATTAAAATGTGGTTCGTTCCTTCTTCCTTGAAATATATAGGTGATTTCGATAAAACAAGAAAACACCTCAGTAGACGCTCTGCAGGTGCCTAGTTATGTGGATAGTACCACGTACGTCAGTTCGCCAATTGCACAGGGTACGTCGACGACAAGACAAGGACAACAGCATACGGGCAACGGTGGTGGTGATGAGTGCGAACCTGTTATCGTACCCAGTAAGGAATAATTAACTAGATTTTGTACAGTGTTTTTTGGTATACTTATCATATTTGCATGTGTTTGGTAGCAACCCATTGGTTTTCTTTGTTTCCACCGTCACTATTGCATTTTTGCTTTCTTTGTATTGTGCATGAACTTTATGTTGTTTCCAAGCTTTTTTTTTCTTCTTCACGCCTATTTACCAAAATAAGTAAAGTTGTATATTTCATTAATGTTGTCACCCATTACCGACTACAGTTCCTTGCGGTACACCATGTAATGATGTTGATAATTTGATTGTACTTTGTCACCTTATGCAGAGATAAAGTTTAAACCATTGAGATGTTATTTCCAAAACCATGTTTTTCCATTTTAAGGATCAATAGATGTCTATTATTTTAGAAATGTACCTAAAAGTATAAAACTCGAACATACTTTGGGAAATATGATACACATTTTATTACGAACATGATTAAATGGGATCACACTCTCTTTTTTAAATAGAAGTTTGTGTTAAACCATACTAAGGAAGAAAAAAATGTATATCTTCATTTTCTTTGGGGCTATTTTGCAAATAACAGTTGTTAGATTGGGAGATAGTTAGTTCTCTCATTGGAAAATAAGTTCATTCGAGAATCTCAGTATGGTATACTTACTATTACTTTTAACCTATCCCCAATCCTACTGTCATTTTTGTGAATTCCTTTTGAAAGCTTCCAAAAAATTAATATGTATCTAAATTGTAAAGTTTAGGTATTTTGTAGAAAATTGTGGTTGGTTCTGCTTCACTCGCGGCTGTGATGTACCAATAGTAGCTTAACTTGTTTTCATGTACTGAATTAGATTTTAAAAAAAAATGATTATAGTTATTAATGAAGATGAATCTCCACTCACCTTGAATCAATAACTCAACCATTTAACATAATTTGTTTCTCTGTCAGGTTCATTTTCGTTCATCAAAAGCATTGTTACCTCAATTGTAACCATCACAATTGAAGATACCACATAAGCAATTTATTAAAATTACACTTTTTGTTTCTAACTAGATCCAAGTCAGATATCAGAACTGCTTTCGAAAACAATATCAGACGCACACACCCGCACGTGTCTCTATTCAATCGAACACATCCACGAGATGTTCCGAAAGCCGCACGACCTTTCCCGTCTGCTCTACTACCAGAACATGGCGCACGAAGAACTGTGGCTAGACTGCGCCCAAAAACTGACCACCATCATTCAGCAAATCATCGAGTTCGCCAAAATGGTGCCCGGTTTCATGAAGCTGAGCCAGGACGATCAGATCGTGCTGCTGAAAGCGGGCAGCTTCGAGCTGGCCATCATTCGTATGTCACGCTACCTGGACCTGTCGCACAATCGCGTTCTGTACGGTGACACTATGTTGCCCCAGGATGCGTTCTATACATCAGATACGGCTGAAATGAAGCTGGTCAGTTGCGTGTTCGAAGTGTCCAAAGGATTGGCGGAACTGAAACTGACCGAAACGGAATTGGCGCTGTATTCGGCTTGTGTTTTATTGTCTCCAGGTAAGAACTAATTTTGAAATTTTGCGTCAGTTTTTTTATTATCTAAGTATCGTTAACGAACATTGTCCATGAGACCATAAAAAATATTGATATACCTATTAGCTCGCAATGTTATGACCTTAACATTGCCCCTTTAAATTCGAAAAATATGAGCAACTAGCCACCAGCACCGTAGCTGAAGTTCGAATCTTCATATGCTAAAGAAAACACAGAATTATTTGGTACGGAGTCATCCGCGTGGTGCAAGTTTCCAAATGAAGTAGGGGCAGGAGTACCACTAATCTAACAATCACAATGGTGATTAATATACAAACGTTGTTGAGAGATGAGGACATCTACGGATTGGTTTGACAGAAATGATCACGTGATAATAGTTCTATGTGAGGCAAGAAGAGATAATTCAATAGAATAATTACGTCGTATTTACTCTATGTTACAGGGGTTGAAAAAATTAATGCCATAAACGGATTAGTCTAGGAAAATTGTCGATTTTCAAAAAAAAAATCCTACCCAAAAGAACTTTTCAGGGATGATATCAAACATTCATTCACCCCTCTGGGTGTTTTAGATAAAAGATGTGAAGCATTATTTGATCTACAATGTTTATCTAAAGACTTTTTTCATTAAGGGCCGTCTGTGGTCATAAGGGCCGTTTGAAATTTTATAATGAAAATGAAAAATTTCAACCAACGTGAAAAAAATTTCTACAACTCATACAACATTTTTGCTTTATGAAGTTTTTACTCACCCCCTGCCGTTTTTCAATAGGGGTAGTTTTAAGTTTTTTTTATTTTTTTACAAAAAAAAATTCTCAATAAAAGTTTTATGAGATGACATTTCCTACAATTTTTCCTGATCAACTTTTTTTGTAACTCACCCCCATTCAGCGGGGGGACACTTCCTTCGGGGAAATTTTAGTTTTAGGGGTATACCTATATTATTTTATTTTTTTTCTTTTCTCGCCTTTAGTGCATATAAAAAGTTGCAATTAACATTGTATTAAAAGGATTTTTTTTTCACCACCTTTTTGTTTTTAGGGGTAGTTCGCCTATTTTCAACTTAACAAAAAAAAATTATTAAGAAAACTTTTCATTTTATTATTTTGAGCAACTTTTCTCTATAACTTTTTTTTGCAATGTTGGAAATAGGCGAACTACCCCTAAAAACAAAAAGGTGGTGAAACAAAAATCCTTTTAGTACAATGTTAATTGCACCTTTTTATATGCACTAAAGGCGAGAAAAGAAAAAAAAATTAATTTATACCCCTAAAAACTAAAATTTCCCTAATGGAAGTGTCCCCCCGCTGAATGGGGGTGAGTTACAAAAAAAGTTGATTGGAAAAAATTGTAGGAAATGTAATCTTATAAAACTTTTATAAGGAATTTTTTTTTGTGAGAAAATAAATAAACTTTAAACTACCCCTATTGAAAAACGGCAGGGGGTGAGTAAAAATTTCATAAGGCAAAAATGTTGTATGTGTTGTAGAAAAATTTTTCACGTTGGTAAAAATTTTTAATTTTCATTATAAAATTTCAAACGGCCCTTATGACCAAAGACGGCCCTTAATCAAAAAAGTCTTTAGATAAACATTGTAGATCAAATAATGTTGCACATCTTTTATAAGAAACATTTTTTTGTAAAATCAATAGGTACCAAGTAATCGCCAATGGCGCACTTTCAACCCCTATAGCGCAAAACGCCAGAGGGGTGAATGTTTGATATTTTCGGTTTCATGATCACCCGCCCGCCCCCTATCATCCCTGAAAATTTCATTTAGGTAGGAATTCTTTTTTTGCAATACATGTATTTTTCGACTATTTTACTAGACTAAATAGGCTCTGGGATTAATAAGAACATATCACATTTTAACCATCAAATACCAGATAAGACTAAAAATTCAATCCAAATGCATCCAGTGCCATAACTCAACCTAGACACACTCAGACAAAGAAACACACTATTTTATAAGAAACTTTCTTGTCCTTCTTCTTCCTAACCGTTCTGTATCCTCTGGATATAGGCTTCTCTTAGATTTTGCCAGGTATTTCTATTCTGTGCAACCTGGTACCAGTTTAGTCCTGCTGTTCGCTTAATGTCATCGCAGTTCCATTTGAGGGTATATATTCTACGTGTAATGTCTTCATCATTTGTTGTATTTCTTATCCAATCGTTGTTCTTGTTATAACAGTGTAAGGGCGGTTACACACGGACGTGGATGTCTTAAAACATATACGTGCATACATCTACGTGCAAACAACAACGTGCATGGCGCTTTTGTACAGACGCTCGCACAAAACTGCAGTCTTGCTATTCTTGCTACAGTATTTCGAGTGTGCATACAAAATTGCACATTCAAAAACGCGACGGGATTTTGCATACACATTGATGTTTTTGTTTGCGCGTTCATGTATGTGCGTACATGCTTTCAGACATCCACGTCCGTGTGTAACCGCCTTAATACGTATCATTCTCCTTTTGATTGCTCTCTGATGTACTTCCAGCTTATTAAGGATTTTCGTCGTGAGCGTCCATCTTCCGCTTCCATAGAGATGTAAAAAAACGGTTTTTTTTTCAGATTTGAAAAAAAACATTAAAAAAAAAACAGAAAAAAAACGGTTTTTTTTTTCTAAATGATTCAAATGTAAAAAAACAGTTTTTTTCAGATTTGAAAAAAAAAACATAAAAAAAAACTGGAAAAAAACACGTTTTTGAGTTTTTTTTCTAAATAATTCAATTTTAAAATTCCTGATTATCTCCAAAGTGTCTCACATCAGTGATGTTCTGTTCTAGTATGTATGTTGTATGGATATGATGAATGTATGATAGTTGATAAATTGATGTACCATGTATCTGACGTGACAACATATTTCATTTATATAATAATATTTTTCCAATGTTATTTCTAAAATAAAGCAATATTTTACGTTTTATCCATATTTCACTGCTTAAACCAATTTTTTGTCCCAAGAAAAGTTTAATTGGCAAAAAAACGTAAAAAATGCGCATGTGGTGCTAAGTTTAGAAAAAAAACACAAAATCTGAAAAAAAAAACCATTTGAAAAAAAAAAAAACAATGAAAAAAAACCTGAAAAAGAACAAAAAAAACGGATTGTTTTTTTTTTCACGTTACATCTCTACGCTTCCACATGCAAGTACTGGCTGAATACATTCGTTGTAGACTTTAGTTTTCAGCTTCAACGATAACCTATCTTATATGATGTTTCCTTGTATGTCCATCAGCTTTGTAATTTCTCTTTTGTGTGCGTTCTCTCGTTTGAAAACGTTTAGGCCTTTCTGCTGTTCTATCAGTTTTTCGATTTGTGCTTCTTGGTAGTTTTTAATGTCTTGTTTTACCATCCTTCTGGCTATTTTGTTAGTCTCTCTGTATTCTGGTGTAACTTTTTTCCTTTGTTTTATGAGTTCTCATCTCTTCTCCAGCATTTGCTTCGTTTCTTTGCTAAATTTTTCTGGCCCCCCTTCGGTGTCTTGATATTTGTTGCTATTTCTTAGTATAAAAACACATATGGAAATATATTGGAAAATTTTAACTTGAACTAAGAATAGAAAAACGTAGGAGAATTTAGTTTCAACGAAAAAACGTAAAAGAGCATCTATTCTATTCGAGTTACCTATTTATTGTCCCAGAGAAGACAATAGGTATGTCATAAATTTATTTTTCAAAAAGAAGAAGCAACGGTTGTGAACCTAGGACTAAAAATAAAATTCTTCTTCATAGTCCTTATCATCTACCTTTGGATATAGGCCTCTACCAATTCTTGCTCATCATTCATTCATTCATCTCATCCCTGCTGCATCTGGATTTTTGCATATGGTTTCGATTTTATATTAATTTGGTTTCATTTTTGGTCTTGGAAGGTGATTTCAGATGAGTGACCTTTAATGCTAAGTCGTCCAACCTGGTTCTAGGTCATATCTAAGTATATCCTATTTCATCGAAAAATCTTATGTTCAGCCAATATACGCAATGGCCCTTTCAGTATTGAATATATGTCGCCATTGTTCTCTGTATATGTCCAAGTCTGACAACCATATGTTATCATCATACATTGGTTCGAAACTATTCTTCTCGAGTGAAGTCTTGGTTTTCTTGGACTTACGAAAGCTTGCCAAAACCTGTCCATGCTTGGTTGCTTTTATCAAGTTTGAATGGGTGGTATGAATAAAAACGAAGTACTTGCTACTACTACAAGTATTAGTAGGTATATTCTACGAAGTAATCACTTCACAGCGAAGGATTCACTAATTTCCGGTAGTTTCGAAATGTAGTATTTACTTCATTTTAAAGTAAATACTACGGAGAACATAGGTACTACTACTTGTAGTAGTAGTAGATACTTCGTTTTTATTCATACCACCAAATAAATATCTGTCCTTGGTAGTTGTATATTCGCTCATTTTTTCCAAGGAGATGTTTTTAATTGTGGATATTTTTTCTTCTGCGTCATTTTTATTACCTACTTTTGCTTTGTCCATATTCATCTTCAGAGCGATTCCACCCGACACTCGTACACAAACTGAATAGTAATCAACTGCTAAAGGGCCCCACACACTACGTTCTGTCTCGTCGGTTTTTATCGTCGCGATTAACAACGTCGTGTTTCATCGTCAGCCTGTTTTCACCACACACTACGCGATTTTTTGGCAGTTGAACCCACATACAACGGTTTTGGAACGAAATGTTGAACCGTCGCGCGTCGTGCCAAAAATCAAGCTCGGAATGAATTTTAAATCGACGATAAAACACGACGGTTTTCTACCACACACTTCGGTGTGCCCTTGAAGGGCCCCACACACTACGTTCTTTCTCATCGTTTTTCATCATCGCCATGAAACACGACGATCTAAAACCGAAGTGTGTGGTAGAAAACCGTCGTGTTTCATCGTCGATTTAAAATTCAGTCCGAGCTTGATTTTTGGCACCGACTGTTCAACATTTCGTTACAAAACCGTTGTATGTGGGTCCAACTGCCAAAAAATCG